GCGGCCGGGAGGGTCCCGCGCTGCCCTGGTGCGGTGCCGGACCGATGCGCTCGACAGTGTGCCCCACCTCTCTTCCGCTTGCTCCGAGTCTATTCACCGAAGCAGCTAGCCGCAGGATGGGAATACGGGAGTAGGCCTTGGCATGACCGTTTCACTTTGCACAATTGGAGCGGGAATAGACCCTCAAATTTCATTAATTTTAATACCAGAATTAAAAATGGGAAAAGGAATTAAGAACAATAGAGCGAAGAGAAAAACGGGATATTCTTTATTTTATTAAATTTTCTCGGTATTTAATTTTAATGGAATCACTGTCGTTATTTGTTATTTCCAGTAATATAATCAAAATTAGGGGAAAGAATAAAAAACAATAAAAGAAGAAGAAAACAAAGAAAATTTTGTTACTTAATTGAACTCCATCGGAATTCATTTTTGTTGGAATAATTTTTATTTTTATTATTTTTGATGATAGGATTAAAAAAAAAAAAAAAAAATTAAAAATGATTGAAAGGGAAAAAAATTAATGATTATTTAATATTTGATTAAATTCTGTTTAAATTATTTGTGATGAGTTTGGGGTCGGATTATTTATTTACCTTGATTTATCAAGTCTTCCTATTCTCCGATAATTGAGATCGCTCACGTGACTTACCTGATATATCTTGTTACTAGCCTTGCCGCAGTTGGTGTGTTTCGAGAGAGCAGGGCCGCATGGTCAGTGGGGGTTGGTGCTACCTTTGTCCGACTATTGCTTCGATATCACGCTCGGTATTGGCTCGACATCGACATGTTTCAGGTTCGGTAATGACTCCGCGTCAGTACGGTACAGCCCACTGTAGTTCGGGACAGTTGCCTCAGGTTCGGTGTTGATTCGGCGTTGGCACGACACTGCTCCATATGTGTCTCAGATTCGGTTTTAGTTCAATGTCGACATTGGGTTGCAGCGCCGCGTGACTACTACTCTGTGTGATCACTGGTTTCGCGCCGAGACAGAATTCCACGGTTTGGTACTTCACCTTTGATACGGTCACTGGTCCGACATTGATGAGACTCACAGCAGCCTGTTGCTACTATTTGGTGTTGTACTACTCCAGCTTGGTGTTGATTAGTGATACGGATTTGGCTCAACGACGGTCTCGTCACGCTGGTTCACGTTTGGTACGGTATACTGATTCTAGACAAGTTCGACGACGGTACCACTGCAGATTGGCCAATGGTACGGCACAGGCAAGGTACTGCGGCAGCGTACTATGGCCTGTTCCTTTTCTTTTCAAACTCGGTAACTGGTATGATCAGAGACACTGCAACTTGACTTTGTTCATTCCGCTCTACTCTGGTTTGGCATTGGCTGTTTGTAGCAGTCCCGTGGATTTTTCCCTGGTACGGGACCTGCTATACGAATCTACCTGGCATATTTTTGTTGATACGGATCTCTGGGCCCGGTGCCTGGCCCATTTTTCCCAATGCAGGCCACACAGACCTGGTACCGGGCCTGCTTTAGCCAATGCGGGGTAAACTGCCAGTCTCTTGAGGCAACGGCCTCTGGTACCAGGAGGATATAACGAGGATCAACTGGTCTGGTAGGACATTCAGACGGGGAGCAGTCTCTCGCGGCATGCAAGGTGTACCCCGCCCACGTCGCAGATACGGACGAAGTCAACGGGCATCTGGACATGGAGACGAGGGGAACTTTTCCTTAGCATGCACAGAGGAAGTCAACGAGCAGGGAGTTACAGGAAACGTGGACCATGGGGAGAACAACGGGGCAAGCAAGAGTACCCAGCCCATGCTTGAAGTGGCGGGAACGCCCGGTTGGGAGGCAGTGACGAGAGTCAAAGTGGGGAGAGAGGAGAAGAAAAGGGGGATTCGTTCAGATTGAGAGGGGGGCAGTATGGAAGGTGTACCTGGCCCACATTGCGAGGGAATAGAGGAGAGGCCAGTGGGCATGGAGTGGGACAGCGGTGCAGCGTGCACGGAATGCTCAATGCCCGATTCGCAAGTCTGAGTGAAGCGGGAATACACCAGGGGTACGCCATCCGCACCGCAGGCGATTTGGGGGAGATTGGACTGTGGGACAGGGCGCTGACCTGCCCGTTTTGCCAGTCCTCATGCTTGAAGAGGACCGGGGGATGATTTTGTTGTTGGCTGTTGTTCGAACACATGTCTAGTATTTGAGATTTAATCTTCTCGCCAAAGCTGGCCAGATACATGGTAGGGACAGGGCGCTGACCTGCCCGTTTCGCCAGTCCTCATACTTGAAGAGGATCGGGGGATGATTTCGAGGATTGCAGCAGTTCGAACACAAGTCTAGTATATGAGATATGAATCTTATTGCTAGAGATGTCCAGATACATGGTAGAGACAGAGCGGGCGATGTTCTGCCCATTCCACCAGTCCTCATATTCGAATGGAACCGGGGGACGATTTGACTGCTTGCTGCTGCTCGAACGTTAGTTGAATTTTTGAGATCAATCTACATGCTGAAGTGGCCCAAGTTCCTGATGGAGAGCAGGCGCTGATCTCCCGTTCACATCAGTTGTCATATATGAAGAAAGCTTAGATGGCATATTGTGCTGAAGCGGCTGAAACGACTCCCTTCAATTGTTGATCACCTCCGACCGCAAATTGATCAAACCCACTGGTAAGAAACCAGACGTGCAGAGGCACACTCAACTATAGCATTCACAGACACACAGAGAGAGAGAGAGAGAGAGAGAGAGAGAGAGAGAGAGAGAGAGAGAGAGAGAGAGAGAGAGAGAGAGAGAGAGAGAG